GAAGATACTGGCTTTTAAAAACCTAACTTAAGCCTGGCAGTGTCTTTCCAGTTCCTTTTCCTTGTTGTGTTAAGTATTGAACCCCTGTTGGTACCGTGCTATGATCTGGTTGTAATCAGTGGTGTCTTCATACTAGTAATGCATTAATACAGCAGAATACTGTAATGGATTTCAAGTTGTAGACTTGGCAGAGTTTTGAGTCCCTTTTACTCTGTTTTTCCATATCCTGCTGTGGAGTTTTGCCTGAAAAGGAGGAAGTAAAAACTTTATCAGGATCCCAGGATTTGTTCCATAGGCTGAGGCTGACCTCTGTGAGGCACTTTGCTGTTAACTGATGCAAGGTGTTACTGAGATAAAAAGTGACTCCCTTTGAAACAGCACTATCTAAATCCAACTCCAGTTGCCTAACCTTAGACCAGTCACCTGTTACATAACCTGCTGCAGACTGAGAACAGGATTTTTCTAGTTGTCCAACTCCATTACCCAAGAAGCGTATTTAAAATGTCTCCCTTCCTGTTCCTTCTTCCTCCTTGCTTTCTCCTTGTTTCCTCCTTCCTTGTTATGGAGGAGAAGGTGGTGGCCAAGGCCACTGGAAGTTGCAGCAGGGCCAGAGAGAAATCCTTTGCTTCCTTCTGATAAACCTGCTCTTGACCATGTGGTTTAGGGACACACAAATACCAGGGAGCAGGAACCACGCTGCTCCTGAACGAGCCTCCCTGCTGGGATTAAGCTGTATAAAAGCAGCCCCAAGCCCCTGCTGTACAACAGCAGGTACTTCCTAAAGGAACTTTGATCTCTCAGAGCCCCACGCTGTAAGGAACCTGAGCGAGCAGCTCAGATCTGCAGTGCTGGGGAGGAGATGGTGTGGGAGGGAAGGCGCTTTCCAGAAATACTCCCTGATCTGGTGACTTAGCAATTGGAGCTTCCCAGTGAAGCCTCTGCAGCCGGGACTTGGGCTTTGCCCCTCTCTTGCTGACGGTAACGTCTCTTGCCTTGGGTTAGCAGGCGGTGCGGCGCGGGCTCCCGCTGCTTTGCTGCGCACGGGTTGTTGGTCAGGATGTTTTGATGCTCTGAATTTCACTGAACTTTGCTGTTTTCTCAGTGCTGAGATATTTGGTCTCAACGAGGCGTTCCAGGGGGGTTTCAGGCATCGGTCACTTCAGTGTGGAGAAGGAGGGAGAGAAAACCTGACCTTATCCAACAAAAATGTTTTGACAGCGTTCTGCTTTGCGGAAACATGGGAAGGGTTCTGTTTGTTTTCCAGTGTGCAACAAAAAAGACATTTAAAAACCTCAAAACTTGTGACAAAATGGAATATTCGCCCGCAGCCCACGCCACGAGGATGGCTTTGAACTTAAGACATACTTCTGGAGAAACTGCAGTGCTCAGACCCAGCAGTTCCTCTCCATTTTGAAACCTCTTGCCTTCCCTTGACCTCAAGCGAGACTTCAGAGGCTCAGCTGTTAACAGGGAGGAAAAGCAGCTTCAATCTCGAATCAAAATCTGTTGCTGGTTGTCAGAAACTGCCTCTTCATTAAACAGAAGATCAGAGGAGAGATGAGAAGGCCAAGGAGGGCTCATAAAAAGTGGCCTCAACAAGAGCGAATGTGGGTGTTGCTACTGATGGTGCCGGGACTGCGGAGGATCCCGTGGTAGGAGGTTGAACATGTTCAGCTACATCTCTTGCTTGCATTGATGGGGTGGATTAAACACTCTGAGGTCCACTGTTGGCCTCACGCAGAAAGGACTCAGGTGTCACTGAGCAGGACAGCAGGCTGAGGCCTCAGGTGAGGAGAAGGCAGCTCTGTGGGATGGGAAGAGCAAACCCAGCTCTGGCTGTTTCCTGGTTACCTGCCCCAGCAGCTCCCGCTTCCCTGTGGGTTGATCAGTGTTGGCGAGGTTTCCAATGGTGTCGGGAGCTGTTGGGGTGTGCTTCAGGCCAGGCAGGGCACTGCTTGGCCAGCCCCACTTTGGGGAGCCACTGCGTGGTCAGAACAGCGTTGGGGTAGTGCTGTGAGGCTGGACACAAGGAATCCTACAGGATTCAACAAGCAGGATGGCCTGTGTGGACCTAAGGAATGGAACCAGGAGATCTTAAAACTTCTGGATTCAATAGGAAAGGTGATCTCTTCCAGCAGAATGCTCGGTGCTTTTCCAGGCATACATCATCCATCCTGTACTTGGCTGCACGCTGAAGCTCGTCAGCTTGGGGACCAGAGGTGATGTGGAGGCTTCATCAGGACAACCATTTCATTAACTCAGACTGGATTGCACTCAGCGGGCAGCTCTTCAAAGACAGCTTCTCCTCACTGATACACAGCCTTTAAAAGCATCTCTTCTACATCGATCACTGGCTACCTCCAGGACTGTTTCCAGAGGATGCTGCTGCAGAGGGTGGAAGGAGACCCCCCCAGCAGTGCAGCTCCCACTGACGCCTGCTCCTAAGAAGGATGTACAGGAGCACGAGCTCCAGCAGCCCATCAGTGCCCCAGCGTGGGGTCCACACACATCCCACTGCTCCAAACCACTCCATACAAGTGACCGGGCTGCAGATGCATCTCTGGCTCCGTGGGACTGGTGTTTGCCCAGGTTCTTCCTTGCTCCTTGCTGGATGGTGGTTCTGTTGCACCATCATTAATGATTTCAAGTGATCTTTTCAACAGTTGGCTGTTAGCAGAGGAAAGGCCATTTATTTTGCAGTGAAGCTCTACTCGTAATCGTGTTTCACAGGGGATGAGCAAGTTGGGCAGAACCTGACTGGCCTCTTCTTCCTCACAGCAGCCTCTCTGGTACTAGACAGGCATTTTGACAGCTGGGGCTTGCAGGATTAAACTCATCAGTGGGATATGTGCAATCCAGTGCCAATGCTTGTGCCTCAAAACCAGGCAAGTGATGGTCCTGAAGCCCATGGAGAGACAGATCCCAGGAGAAGGAGCTGGCACAGACCCTCCTATAGCTCGGGCTGTGGGGCTCACATAGCACCGCTGCAGGATGCAGGTCATGTCCAGGATGGAGCTGATAAAGGGGAGATCTGTGCCTTGGCTCGTGGTTGGTGTCCACCAGTAGGTGCTCATCTCATCCAGGGTCTCCAGCCTCATCCCATGGCATTAGTAGCTGATGTGAAGTCGTTCAGGGTCCTCGCTGCTGCCTGTTCTTCACGCGCCTGCTTTACTCTTTCTCTCAGAGGCTTTGCTGATACTTGGGCTGAGCTTCCCCTCACCTAATCCAGTCTAACCTGTTGGTGTTTATCTCTGGGCTCCACCTGGAGACCCCAGAGAGATGCGGTGATGCACAACGCACACCTTTCCCTTCCCACCATGCCAGGAGCTCAGCTTTAGGGGATGAATTAGGAAGGCAAAAGGACTTGACCCCAGTGACTGATCTCCTGCAAGCGCTCAGCCCAGTGCCAGCTAGAGGCAAGACACACTTAGCACCAAACCAGATGGCTCCTGTTCCCAGGACTGTAAATTTGGGGAGGGGGAGAGTAAATAAATAAAACCACCCACAAATCCTCCTTTGAATGGAAAGTAAAACACGACAGGACACCCCCCACCCACTTCTCCTCCCATGTGCGTAAACCCAACTTGAAACAAACCCTGTTGCTGGGAAAAGTAAGGCCGTTCTGTTTTGATTTTGGTAGATAATCTTGTGCCGTGGAGGTCAGCCGGGCAAAGCGAAGAGGTCATGATGAGAAGCAAACATCCGCGCGTAGGACGGCTGATGGGAAGCGCCTTGGAAAAGCCGGGAATGTGGAAGAACAGATTTGGGAGTCCCCAAGACGAGAACAAATAAGTAAAACCCAAGGTGGGCCACTGCTTTTTTGCTATAGTAAGTGAATACCTGGCCCCTGGTTTCGGTTCCTGTCTGGGGGGTGCCTGTGTACTGTGTGCACATCGCTATATTTAACAATCCATATGTTAGAGCCACAGTGTAAATGCTAATTTAATCAGATTTGTATGTAACCAGGATTTTATATACCCATTTGTCCCTTTTCTAATTTATGCTGGTTTATGTGTATAAATGTACTTAGAGGAAGAGATATTAAACTTATGTCTTTGTACAGTATCTACATACTATTTTACCCAGGCAAAGTATTTTTGCAGTGATTTTAGAGATGCCATTTGCTATATTGAAAGACAGAATAAAGTCACGCTCTGTCCCTTGCAGCTCCTGCTGTTCTTTGTGGGGCCCTAAAGATGTCAGTCTTGATTAAGTGCTGTGAGTGGAGAGTGGGTTTGGGGAGCTGGTGGTGGGTGCTGCTCCCACACCCCCCGACCCACGTCCATACCAGTCCGTGGCTTGTCCAAAGAGAGATCTGTGTATGTAAATCAGAGCCCAAAATTGCTTCAGAAAGCCCTCACTCAGCTTCTGAGAAGTCCCAGGGGTGTCTTAGGTTTCAGTTGCACCTTTGATTTTGCCTTTGCATCTGCCCAGAATAGCCTTCTAAGAGCTGCTTCACCCCATCTGCACCCCTGGCATTGCCCGTGAGGAGGGTGGCACTAAGGGGAGCCCAGGACCCTGTTCTGTTATAGCTGGGTCTTTAAGATAACCCCATTAATGAACCTCACTTGCTGGGGCAGGGGCTCCATTTCCCAGAGCACTGGCCTTGTGCCCGCCAGGATCTTCTCTCTTAAGCCAATGGACTTCAGTGTCTCAGCACCAAAAGGGAGCCCCCAGCCGCTCCTGTAAGGTGCATTCTAGAGGAAGGCCAAGCAAATATCCCAGAGGAATTCTCTCCCAAATCCATGTTTCACAGAAGGTGGTTTAAATCCAAGACCTGGCTCTTTCCCAGGTAGAGCCCTACAAAAAGCCTGTCTCTGTCCATGTGCCTACCAGGTAAAGCAGTGCCCTGCTCTGCTGTGGGCACAGCCCTGCTCCGTGCGCTCACACGGACCCACAACTGAGCTAGTGCTTCATCACATGGAGCAAAGGGGTGCACAGCCCCATCCCTCCCAGTGGCCAACCTCCAGCCTGGAGCCACAGCAGTCCCGTTCACAGGCTCAGGAGCGGAGCAGCCGGGGCAGCCATTCACTTAGAGACACAGGAGTCGCGTTGGTCTCCTCTCCATGCGATGGTCCCTCGCGGCTCCGTGAGCTCCGGGTGCGTGGCACCGACAGGCCACGTGCTGTGGGTCACAGCAGGGCGTCACGGCCGGGTCCTTGGAGTAATCTGCAACCGAGGTGTTGTCTGTTGCAATGTCCTCCAGGGCCTGGGCATAAGCCCTGCTGATTGCAGGCAGCACCTCCTCGTACTCTCTGGATGCCATGTCCAGAGGCTCCTGCTCTTGGATATCGTGATCCATGCGTGGCACCGACAGGCCACGTGCTGTGGGTCACAGCAGGGCGTCACGGCCGGGTCCTTGGAGTAATCTGCAACCGAGGTGTTGTCTGTTGCAATGTCCTCCAGGGCCTGGGCATAAGCCCTGCTGATTGCAGGCAGCACCTCCTCGTACTCTCTGGATGCCATGTCCAGAGGCTCCTGCTCTTGGATATCGTGATCCAGATTGAAAATGAGGGGGGTGATGCTCGGCCGGCCCGGTGCTCCCATCACAAGCCATTGCTCCTCCTAGGGAGGAAATGAGAGGAAATACTGAGTCCCACAGTGCCCTCGATGATCCTCTGTCTGTGATGGCCCAGTCCCACCATGTCCCGGCTTCGGGAGCCTGGGTCTTGCTGCTAGTCCGAGAGTGCTCCTGGGGCCAACAAAGCCATCATGCAGACACAGGTGAACACATACTTACTCCTCACTGGGGTTGCTCTTACTTGAATTAACCTGAGTTGGTTGTTACCTGTATTTGCAGTGAACCAAGAATTCCACAAGCTTTTTCCCAGATTTTATGATCAATAAAAGGCCCCAGTACCTGTGGTGTAAAAGGCCTTGTACTGAGCCAGCCGCAGCGCCTCTATCCCACCATCCTTCCCAGCTGCCCCACTGTTGGGATGGAGCAGAACCTGAAGAAAGAACAGAAAAGGGCCCATCAGCCCACTGCAGAGTGAAAACTGCTCTGTGAGACCCGCTCCCTGCCCAGACAACATCACATCCCATCCATGCACACATTTAGACACCATTTAGCCCCCGGACTGTGAGTAACCAACTGAAATTTGGCTGCTGAAGGGTGAGGGAACAGCAGAAGGGCACTGGGAAACAGCAGCATCTCCCTGTGCCAACCTGTCCCTGCACACAGGACACCCCGAATTCACCTCCCCAGACCAATTCGACTGCAAGAAAGTGATCATAAAGGTGTGAGAGCTTCCAGCAGCACAGGGCAGAGTATTTCGGAGCAGGGATGTTCTCTCTGTCACCCACCACTGCTCTGTGCCAAGGAGACACCCATCTCCTCGCTGCTCTCAGCTCAGTTAACTGCAGGGACATCTAAGGGAGCCAGATCCCTGCCTGGGGCCAGCAGCAAGCCCCAAGCTGAGGGTGAGCTCATGCGACGGGTAGGTGAGGTGCTGGAACATCGCTCCCGGTCCATCATCCCACCGCTGACTCACCCCACTGTGCGAGCGCTCCCTTCCCTAACAACAGCCATCCCGGCACAGGGAACGCGGCTGAGGAGGAAGGGAAGAAGAAGGGAAGGGTGGGTCGAATCCCACTCTTTGAGTAATTAGGACACTTGATCCGTGCAGGACGCCTGCTTTGGCACAGGGGAGCGAGAAGACAAGTGAGCTGGACGGTTCGGCGGGCTCCTCCGTCAGATAGTATCTGCTGTGGAGCCAATGGCTTCGTTGAGGGGTGAGTCACTTGAGGTTTCCTCCCTGGGAATTGAGTTTAAAAGTGATTCAAGAAATTTCCACTGTGCTAAAAATCAGAAACATCTGCTGCAGTCGTAGGGGCCAAGCTCAGGAGCAGCGTGAGCAGCGCAGCGATGCCTCAGCAGGTGCCCGGCGTGTCCTTAGCATCATACAACCCCAGCCTGGTTTGGATTGAAGGGACCCTAAAGCTCCTCCAGCTCCAACCCCCTGCCCCGGGCAGGGACACCTTCCACTAGAGCAGGTTGCTCCAAGCCCCTGTGTCCAACCCGGCCTTGAACACTGCCAGGGATGGGGCAGCCACAGCTTCTCTGGGCACCCTGCGCCAGCGCCTCAGAACCCTCACAGGGAAGAGCTTCTGCCTTATCTCTAACCTGAACTTCCCCTGTTTAAGTTTAAACCCATCACCCCTTGTCCGATCACCCTGGGGGGCTGGTTGGTACCTCCCCAAGACACGCCAGGATTCAGCATGGGGGGTGATTTCTGGATGCTTTCTGCTTCCTTTATCACCTTCTGTTGCAAAGTAAATTAACCAAAAAATCACCTTTTGGAATCTGGATTAAAAATCACGTTTAGGGTTAAAAAATGAGGCTGTGAAGTGGAGGAGGTGGTGCAGTGCAAGCTGCAAGGGAAAGTCCTGCTACACAGCCCCCTTACACTCCTTGGTTGGAATAAACCAGCTCCAAGAAGAAATCAGGAAATATTCAAGGGCCCATGAAGGTACCAGGAACTGAACCAATCCTTCTGCTTCCAGCCCTAAAGCTGTGCCTGCACCTTTAGCAGCACAGCTGGGACGCTGCCATCCCAGTGTAAAGGCACTTAAACCTCCTTCACCACCACCAAGCACGTTCCTAAACCTGCCTCACAAAGCCCCACGTTTAGAAAATCTATTCTAATTTACAGCATAATTAAAGAGCTGGTTTCGACTGAGCCCTTTCAAGGAACATTCCCAGGTCTGCAACACTTCTATTGATCCCTGACTTCGTTATTTTAACTGAAAGAAACATAGAAAAGGGGGGAAAAGCCACTGTCTGAGCTCTGGGCTGTTTAAACACCCCCCTCCACCATGAAGCTCATGGAAAGAGCTTATTTGTGTGACACTTGTACCCTTGACACGTTCGGGGATGTGTTTATTTTCACTGCAAACAGCCTTGCTCAGAACAGGACCTCGGTGTCACCCCAGCCCCATCACAGCCTGCGCCGGCGCGGGGTGCACAGGGGCGCTGAGCAAGGTTACACTGGTTTATCCCAAGGGACCCCAGTTAGGGAAGAGGCTGTTGGGTGGTGGGATGAGCAATGGAGCTGCTTTTGGAGGACCTGTGACAAGGAAAACCCTGCAGCACCAAAGGGGGGGCTGCTACCAGCGCTCACAAGTGGGGATGAAAGGCAGGGAAGGGGGGGAGCAGGGACCTGCACTTGCTTCCAATCACCACATGAAGCTGGAGCTCGTGGGTGCTCTGTGTGTGAACCCAAGGTTGGATCCATCCCATCCCTGGATCCATGCCCTGGGGATGCTCATGCTACAGGGAATGGCAGGAACAACCCGGCTGCACCCACTGGCTCCCAGCCCCACAGGGGTTAATTCACCCCTGATTGCAGAATAAACCCCCCCACAAAGGGCTGGGGTGATGCTGGGGAAGCCACGGAGCTGGTGGTGAATTGTAACTCAGGACTTCATTCCTTGGTCTGAAACACACCGGAATGGCTGGCACAGGCCCCGACACACCGGAATGGCTGGCACCGGCTCGTATCCCTTTGCCCTGACACCCAGCAAACCATTGCTCCCAGCAAACCACCATTCCCAACAAACCATCACTCCCAGCAAACCATCACTCCCAGCAAAACCCCCATCCCGACGCCACAGGGGCACTAAAAGAGGGTTAATGGTGAGGAGCACGAGGAGCACAGTGGAGCTCGCTGGCCGCATCCCATCCACTTCCCTGCTTTCCCTCACGGTTCAACAGAGGGTTCCATAAATACGAACCAAATACCAAACCCCTGATGGACACAGAAAGCAAATCCAGGACCCCCACTGGGAGCTGGCTCGTGGTGCTCGCAGGAGGGTGGACTTGAAAAGCAAACTTTAAAAGGCTTTATCTGTGGTGCTGCTGTTAAAGTCACTTCTTTTTTTACCCTTTTTCCTTTGGTTCTGCACCAATCTCGTGGCACCCTGACAGAAGAGCATCACCACTTGGTTCTGCTGTCAGCAGCTCCTATTGTATGGACAGAGAGCTGCAAGGTACAGGGTGTGCTGCCCCACTTCAGCATCAGTGATAACAAAGAGCTGGGAGAAGGAAGACTTCCTTATGCCTTGATCTGGCATATAAAATAGGATAAATAAGTGGATACAGCTAGGGCTGAGCCCCTGGGATCTTTTCTTTCCCACACTGATGCACCTTCCGGATGCCGGCAAGCCCAAGCATCCCCCTGGATGGCAGCCCTGGGACAGCAGGCACAGGCAGGCACAGCAGGATGTTGTTCTTACCTGTAATCCCAGGTTTATGAGCAAAGCATAAAACAGTTAATCCAAAAGCCCTTTTACCCGAGTACCCTGAGTCTTGGTACAGCACCGGGCTGTCTGCGGCCATCCTCATCCTCCAAGCCAGGAGCACGATGCTCCCACAACCCAGCACATCACCTTTCCATCCCCATATGGATGCTCAGGGGTGATGGGATCTATTGTAAGGAGGGGGATAGCACCAGGGGGGGTCTCTGCCTTACCTTATGCCCCACATCCGACCACCCAAAGAGCACCGGAGACACATCCAAGCCATCAAAGCGCCTGTTCGGGGGAAGCGCCGCCCCAGCCAGAGCCACCAGCGTAGGGAAGATGTCCAGAGTGCTGCGGAGAGAGGTGCCACATCAGAGCAAGGAGCAAAGATCCCCGCGGGGTCCCCCCAGCTCACCCGCAGCCCCTGGGCACTCAGTGCACTGTAACCGGGAAGTGCTTTAGTGGGGGGAAAGCAGCTTCTCAGCGCCCACCCCAAGAGCAGAAAAGGTTAAAGCCGGCTCCAAGCAGCGGCTGGGCCCTGGCAACACTCACATCACTCACCTCCCGCCCCGGCGCCGGCGCCTAGCCAGGCGCTGCGGGTTCAGCCAGGATCTGCTGCTCCCTGTGCCCAGCGAATCCCGCACCCGCAGGTCAGGATCAGCCCCCACTTTGTCCCTTGTGGGAAGGCAGTGGGTCACCCCCCGGGGAAAGCGCTGGCACCGGGAATTTCGATGCCAATGGGAGCAGATCCCGTGGACCCAGTTAAATGTGGTCTCGCTCTTGCAGGAGCCGAGCGGCCAGGGTGGAACGTGAGAGCGGAGCTGCTCGGCGCGCACCAAAGCACCCGTCAGCGTTTCCACCCGCAGGGGCCTCAGCCACTAAACCAGCGCTCAGGGCTCAGCCTCGGTCGCTTCCTGATGTGGAGGGATGCAGGGAAGGAGCGGGGTCCCTCCGGATCCATGGGGATGCGGAGGGACAGTCTCTGCTTTCCCGCCTGCTGCCTGTGACTCTGGGGATGGAGCTTGGCCATGGCAATTCGCCACCACCCAGCACATCCCCATGGCACGGAGGGGCCGTGGGTCGAGCAGAGTCATTGCTGGGGGGGGACAGGATGCTCACAGCCCCCCGTGTCTGACCCTCACCCCACACATCCCACTCCCGCGATGCGCAAGTGTCCGTCCCACCACCACCGATGGCACAGGAATGATGAGCTGGTGCTGAGCACCCAACAGGGCCTCAGCCTGCATCCCTCTGGCTGCAAACCCCTCGTGCCAGCAGCTCGGGGGTTGCTCCAGTCACTGGAGGAGGTGAAAGCACCAGATCCCTCAACTTGGGGACCTCAGGGTGCTACCATGGTCCTGCCACCGCACTTGTCCTGCCCAGTGCGTGATGGTGGCTCCGTGAGCAGAGAGAGGGAAGAGCCCGGGGATAAGGGCCCCTGGTTCTCTAACTCAACACGTTTCCATTTAGCTGAGCAGCTCGGGGGTTGCTCCAGTCACTGGAGGAGGTGAAAGCACCAGATCCCTCAACTTGGGGACCTCAGGGTGCTACCATGGTCCTGCCACCGCACTTGTCCTGCCCAGTGCGTGATGGTGGCTCCGTGAGCAGAGAGAGGGAAGAGCCCGGGGATAAGGGCCCCTGGTTCTCTAACTCAACACGTTTCCATTTAGCTGCTAAGAGACGGAGGGAACAATAAGCACAAACACTGCGGAGCTGCAGCCCCGGTACAGCGCTTGTGGAGCCGAAGGAATTCCGGCTCCCCGCTGGGTCCAAGGCAGGGCACATCCCGGCCAGCACCTCACCCGAGGTCAGCCCAGGGGCACCCAAATGACAGCCCAGGGCAGGCCCTGGTGAACGTGTGCTGGCCCCGGGGTGCTCAGCACCATCAGTATCTGGCCCTCAGCATGGTGCGCACGGACCAAGGAGCCTCAACCCATGGGATGGGTCTGCTGGAAATAGAGGTGGGAAGGACATGATTGAGGGCAATGGTGGGTGAAGATCCCCCTGGCCACAGGCAGATAGAGCCAATGGAAAAAGGCATAAAAACGCACAGATTTTGGTCAAAGCTGGGCTCAAAGCAAACACCTCGGCAGCAGGCACATCCTGAAGCTAGGGAAGGTTGCGTGCGGGGAGAGGGAAGCCACGCTTCCAACCCTGCCCTGGTCAAGAAAGGCTTAAAACTCACTCCAACATCCTGCCACCACCCCGAACATGGAGAGAAAAGGGTTTGGGAGCACCCAAGGACAGGCAGCTCCCTGCCTGCTTTGCTGGGATGCGCAGGCCGGGCACGAATACTGCCCTGCCTGGCGGTGAGGAGCTGCAGGCAGCAGCAGGCAGCTGAACCAGCAGTGCCCACACACATACCCGCCTGCCCAACCTGCCCAGCCACGCTGGTGCAATGTGCCCCTCCACCATCCCACTGACCTATTTCTTCCATGCCCTACTTTGGGATCGGGACAGGGACGGGCAGAAGCGCAGCTCCGACAATTAACTATGATTAAGAAGGGCTGACGGGGCAGTTCCCTGCAGAAGGCAGCGTGCAGGTGCAGGTCCAGGGCATTGCATCAGCGCTGAGAGCTGGCCCCGGGGCGCGCTCACCCTCTCTCACCCCTCCGCTCCCGGCGCGGGAGGACGCGATGCCAAAGCGATGCTGGGAGAGGCACAGCCCCGACCAGGCGCTTCTGCAGACCCCATGTCAGCGTTTTCATAACCTCAGGGGCAGAAGGAGGCTCACGCAGGGAGTTAACACCTTCCCTGGCCCAGCTCCTGCCCTTCCCGGGGTATCCCACCGTACAGAGGACGCTCCTCGCATGCGGCGGTCTCCCAGCTGTGTCTGCACACTGATTTCGTTCTCTTCATACCAGGTTTTTGGTCTTCCCCATCAGCCTTCAACTGCCCTATTTCACGTGCTTGCTCTTTGAGGGGTGTCTAAGTGCAGAGAAAAGCCACGTGCCCTGACATGCTGTGAGCACCAAGCAGCCCCTGCCCTCAACATCCCTCAGAGAGCTGGGCTTGTTCAGCTCCGGGGAGAACTCAGAGCAGCTCCAGTGCCTAAAGGAGCTACAAGAAACCTGGAGAGGGGCTTTGGACAAGGGATGTAGGGACAGGACAAGGGGAATGGCTTGAACCTGCCAGAGGGGAGATTGAGATGAGCTCTTGGGCAGAAGCTCTTCCCTGTGAGGGTGCTGAGGCGCTGGCACAGGGTGCCCAGAGGAGCTGTGGCTGCCCCATCCCTGGCAGTGTTCAAGGCCAGGTTGGACACAGGGGCTTGGAGCAACCTGCTCTAGTGGAAGGTGTCCCTGCCCGTGGCAGGGGTTGGAGCTGGAGGAGCTTTAAGGTCCCTTCAACCTAAACCACTCTGGGATTCTATGATCCCTCTGCATCCCTCTGCATCCCCTGTCCAAAACTCAAGCCATGGCCGGGACCACAATGGTGACACCTTATTGAGGATAAGCCATCACTCGTGCCCCCAGGCTGGGTCCCAAACAGGAGCTGGCATCACCCTGCACCACCCGGGCATGGCCCCATGGCGATGCTGGGCCATGGAGGACACTGGGTGCACTGTGTCTCCTGGGGAGCTACAAAGCCACTTCCCGAGCACCCAACGTGCAGCACAGCCCGTGCTGCCACAGCTTCATGCGCTTCCAGCTGTCCAACCTGCTGGGCTGGAGCTGGGAAATGCAGGAGATAAGGGTGAGGAGATAAAGGGAATGCCTGGGCTTGGCGGCAGGGCTGCAGGAGGCTGGTGGGACACGGGATGGGGACAGGCACTGGTTCTGCACTGTCCAAGCGGGCACAGGTTGGCAGCTCTGCCCCATGTCCCAGAGGTCGAGCCACAACCCCCGCCACCATAGAAGGGTTTGGAGGTGAAACCCAATGGGTGCTGTGAGCTCCCCATCCCCATCCCCTCTACCAGACCTCAGCTTACGATCCAACCTTCCCCCACTTGCAAAATCCCACCTCCCAGAGCTGCCCTCAGGCCATGTAAGGAGTAAACGGCTCCAGCTTATCCCATGGACTTCAGGAACACCCAACGCCTCCAGGGGCCACCAGTCAGGACCAACTCCCAGCAGGTGGAATGCTCTTTCCCAACACCCATCAACCCATGGCCCCACCACCCTGACCTCCACCATTGCTTGCTTTAAGGGATAAAAGGGGACAGAGCATCGCCCCACACTTCTCTACCTGTGGCCCCCTGATCCCCACTGCATTTGCTGCAAGGGAGGGCTGTAAAGAGGGGCGCAAGTGCTGCAAGGGAATGATGCAATTGATGCACAAAGAGGTGTAAACTGCTGCATGAAGAGGTGCAAACTGCTGCATGAAGAGGTGCAAACTGCTGCACTAATGCCCCTTCCATGTCACCCACTCCAGTGAGGCCAGGAGCAGGAGGCTGCATCCATTCCCCACCGCTCCCATCCCAGCCGCATCCTGCATTGATTGCAAGCTCCATCTCCCCATCCAGCCTTTCCCACAACCGCACCCTCCTCCACATAAAGTCATTCACAAACCACAAAGCCTGAGCCTGCTTCTTGGTGGGGAGAGGGAACATCGTCATCTTTTAATTAACGGGAGGCACTCAGCCACCGCGGCCGGGAGGCACACGGAGCCCAACGCCAATCCACCGCCGCACAAAAAGCCCTTTCAACTCCTCTTTGCTGAAGCATTAAAGTCTTACAGGCTTGGGAGAGGACAAAAGTACAGAGCCTGGCACAAGGCTGGCAATAACCAGCACAAGCAGCTGATGCAGCCAAAATCCAGGTCATCACCTAGGTCCCGGTGTGGGGATGGTGTGTCCTTCCCAACGGGGCTCTTACCTGAGCAGGGCACGGCTTGTCCGCTTGGCAGGGATGTGGCCGGGCCAATACACCAGTGCTGGGACCCGGTGCCCTCCTTCCCACGTTGTTTGCTTTGCTGAGCTCCCACCTGCAAGAGAAAAGGGCAATGCTCAGCATCCTGCTGCTCAGGAGCATCCTGCTGCTCAGGAGGCAATGGGAAAATCCCAGGGCTTCCCTGGGAAAGGAGCTACTTACAGGCAGAGATGGGGTAAACGACCCCCAAGGAGGATGATTTCGCTGGAGAGGGTCAGGGGAGGGAGAGGAGTTGCAGGGAACAAGAAATAGGGAAAGGGAAAGGAAAGGGAGCCTCCTTTGGCACTGCTTTGTGTTTGTCCTCTGCTTCGTGTTTGTCCTCTGCTCCAGTGAGTGGTGAGAATTGCAGCCAACTGCCAGAGCAGCCACATTTCCACCCACTTCTGGTGTCAGGTGAGAACACGGAGCAAGTGGGAAATGTAGGAATTTATGCCAGGGGATTCAAGAGCCCTTGTAGGTGCCCTCTGCGTGGTGGAGCACCAACAGCCCTCCCAGCCTGCTGAAACCTGCTTCATTAAAAGCACCATCCTGTTGATAACCCTCCTAGTGGTTAATTAGCCTGTTGTTGTTTTCCTGTCATCACCCAAAACTGCTGTGCCTTTGGGTTTGAGATGCATGGCATGGGGAAGCTGCCCGGTCCTTTCCTCCACTGAAATGCTGAGCAACGAAACAGGGATCCTGAGCAAGAAAACAAGGGTGCTGAGCGCTGAAATAGGAGCACTGACCACCCAAACGGGTGTAAGGGTGCCAGAGAGCCTCTGCTTTGGCTGTAGCCCAAAGGGCCCCAGGCAGCTGGGGGGGGAGAGGGGCTGGGAATGGGGCAAAGAGAATATCCCGACCTGATTCACGGAGCAAACTTCCCAGGCAGAGCCTTTGTCCTCCCGCCTTTCAGCGTGCACATGGCAACGGCGCGCGCCCAAAGCCATTTCCTCTGGGCAGAGCCAAGAGAGAGGCGACGACGTCCCTTTGCTCCTCTGTGTCCCTGTGCCCATTCCCAGCCTGGCCGGGCCTCCCTGGAAATCACTGCCTGGTGCTACAGGCACGTGGGCTGATCCTGCGCTCCCGAGTGATGCTGCTGCATCCGTGCAGCCACAGCATCGGTGCTGTGGTGCCAGCAGCACTGGGAATAGTCCAGGGAAAAGCTTCCTGACCCCGCTGCCCGTCCTGCTGCACATCCAGGTCTTTCCCACTCATCACCCAAACTTCTGGTGGTTTTTCCCTTATGAACATCACTTTGGGGCCTGCAGCAGCGGGACAAGGCCAGCACCGGGATCTCTTGTGGCTATTGGAAATGGGATAGTGCTTCTCCCATGCCCCACGTGTGGCTTTAGCGAGTGAGGTGCCTCCCCTGCCTTCAGACACCGCAGGAAGTTACAGCAAGTACAGCAATTAACATCAGCCCCCATCTCTGCACGTAGATGAAATAACTCATTGAAAGGCTGCTGCATTGAAAGCTGAACTGAGCATTCCCATGCTGGGATGAAACCCCTGGTCCTGCTCCCTCTCCCACGGGTCCTCAGTGCAGGGACACCAGGTCTGGACCGTCCCAAACCTGCCTCAAAACACACCCAGTATCACTTCCCCAAAACATCTCCATCCCAGCACCCCATTAGCCAGGATATTGTCCCCAGGGTTGGAGATGGGGTTTTGGGGTGGGTTGGGGGCTACGGGAACCTCCCCAACCAGAGAAGGGGGCAGCACACACGGACGTGCTGCTCTCTCCCAGCTCCAGTGACCACTCCAAATCAATGCAAAACATCCCTGGAATTTGGGTTGGACCCTAAAAGGAAACGCCAAGGTATGTGAAATGTATAAGCTATGTGGAACATATAGAGCCCGGAGCAGCCCATCCTCGCCTGCTCCTCAAGGGGCTGTTCCCCTCGGG